GGCATCTACAACAACAACCACGTCGCAATCAAGATGCTGCTTCCGAGTACTCGCCGCGATATTCACCTCGTGAACGAGTTTCTGGCTGAAGCAAAATTTACAGCAAGCATGGAGCACCCTCGAATTGTAGCGTGCATTGGCGTCGCGTGGGATTCTCTCTCTGATTTGTGTGTGGTTCTGGAGTTCATGGAAGGCGGTGATCTGCGTACACTACTCGAGAGCTACGAGAAATCAAGTCACCCGGTCGGATTTGACCGTGAAAAAGTGACTATCGCATTGCACGTGTGTCATGCACTTACATACTTGCATTCCTTGGAGCCTCCGGTGATCCATCGTGACTTAAAGTCCAGAAATATTTTATTAAACGACTTACACAAAGCCAAATTAACAGATTTTGGGATTTCAAGAGAACGACTTGAACGGACAATGACGGCTGGGGTGGGGACATCGCTGTGGATGGCTCCTGAGGTGATGACCGGCGAGAAATACGATGACAAGGCCGACATATTCTCGTTTGGAGTTGTGTTGAGCGAGCTGGACACCCACACTTTACCGTACGCTCAGGCCAGACAGGAGATGCAGAACTCGCATGGACGGCAAATGACGGACGCCACTCTACTGCAAAAGGTGGTCACGGGAACTGTAACGGTAACGTTTTCGGATGCAGGTCCGAAGTCCATGGCGGATCTTGGCTACAGCTGCGTGTCCGTCGATCCGACCATGAGGCCAAGTGCCGCCGAGGGTCTTTTCAAGCTTCAGGTTCTCATGTCAAAGGAGCTAGTGGACAAACGCTACAGTGCCACGTAGTCAATCATCAATAAGTCATTGAAAGGCGCCAGGGGAATTACTATTACGTCTTCTTTGATTACTGGCAGTTCACCAGCTACAGCTGCAGGGGCTGCAAAGAACAGCGACTGCATTTGAAGCTCCCACGTTACCGGGTTGACGGCGTTGGTCCATTCTCAACTCATAGTCGACGCACTCTGCCGCTCAACAATAAATACCGAAACTTTTATTTAACGAAACAGGCCCTTACGTGCGGGCCT